TCGACGCTGCGCCGGAGTTGTCACGCTCAGCGGCTTTGCACGTGTGACCGCTCCACAAAATTTGCTCCGGTGTAAAATATATCGCAACAAAATATTTCGGTCCAGCGTCGGACCAAATGTGTGCCGTGTGAACAGGGCTAGTGTCAGTCCAAATCTGCATGCATGTGTGTGAACCATTACATAACTACGAGTACCGTATTTTACGGACTATAAGGCGCTTAGGAGTATAAGGCTCACCTACAATGAATGGTCTATTTTTAAACTGTTTTAATATATATGGAGCACCGTATTATAAATCGCATAAAATAGAAGTTACAATAGTGGTGGCGTTATGCATCCACTAGATGGCGCTAAGTTAAAGGAATACAATACAATACAGCTTTATTTATATAGAGCTTTCACAACTGCTGCATCTGTAACAAAGCGCTTTAAGAACATTTACTGTACTTCTTGATCCATGTATAAGGCGCATTGGATTATAAAACGCACTGTCAGCTTTTGAGAAAATGGAATGCTTTTAGGTGCGCCTTATAGTGCGGAAAATACGGTACATTGGTTTAACTTCCGTCTTGGACTTGGACATTTAACCTTAGCTCAACTGTGCTCAGGGCTCGACTGAAGTTTTATTCTGACTCCCACTGGAGTGCTCGGCAAGAAAGGCCCTGCTGACATGATGTGCCAGTCATTTTGCAGTCGGGTGTGTCTTGCTTAGCACTCGACTGGAATCCATATGAATGGTCCATCGAACATTTGAATACACGTGTTTGAAGTAATAACACCCAGTGGGGAAAAAAAATAAACCATTGTAACAAACAAGAGTTTTCCCTGTCACAACTTCCCTTACAAACCTCAACATTCACAAGCTGCATGATTAACTTGATGCTCAAAAGGGACGCACACATACGGCTGAAGACATATGAACAGACAATTGCATATGTCAGATTCAGTTTACACTTGTGAGTAGACCTCGTTTGTGCCGCACAACCTACTCTACTGCATGATTTCTATGTAAGTGTATGATGCTCTCGACTCCATAGATCTCCAGACCTGCTATCCAGGACAAATTGTCCATTAAGGTAAGATGTCTGCTAGAGGAAGCACATCAAAATAGTTCCCGACTCACCCCATCCCTGTCGCAAAACGCTGCCCCCACGGCAATATGATGCATAGGCCCCATACTAGCAGTTACCGTTAGCTCGTATTTTGCATTCTCTCAACAGCGTGCTGACTTCGTATTTGTAAAATGTTGATTTAGCAGCCACTCCCATTTTCATAAGGGTACCTGAAACAATCAGCGCCTCTAATCATATGGCCTCGCATGATGCCATTAACAAAAATCACGTTTGACTGTTCTACCCCTGCAGATCTATGTTCGTGCTCAGTTTGAGTATGACCCGACAAAAGATGACCTCATACCTTGTAAGGAAGCAGGCATTTGCTTCAGGGTGGGTGACATCATTCAGATTATCTCCAAGGATGACCACAATTGGTGGCAGGGAAAGCTAGAGAATACCAAGAACGGTACGGCGGGCCTTATCCCTTCCCCCGAGCTGCAGGAGTGGTGAGTGACAAAATGACCGCTGAAGGTCCCCATGACAACTTTGCAGATTTGCCTGATGTGCAAGCATGGGCTCAGAGCGTCAAACGGCCTCACGCGTGCCCATGTGGTGTTCACAGGCGTGTGGCATGTATCGCTATGGAGAAGACCAAGCAGGAGCAGCAAGCCAGTTGTACGTGGTTTGGCAAAAAGAAGAAACAGTATAAAGACAAGTACTTGGCCAAGCACAATGCAGGTAAACTATATGCGTTCACGCCAAAGTCTATGCTGTATAATATGGTACACAATTGGGCGTTGGCATAGTAAACACCAGAGGCTCAGTAGCCAATTAAAGGTGATGTTCAAGCAGCAGTACTTAAGTATGCAGTCATTTCATAGCATTGTTTGCATAGTCAGATATGCATTTGCGAGATCCTGCTGTGATTTTTTTTTTTTTTTTTTTTTTTGTAATGCGTCCTCAAATTCGTCCCATCAAGTGCAGTGTTGCAACACTGCATTTGCCTTGCCTTACTTCTTGCCTCAGAGATCCTCACTCAGTGTTATTCCTTATGGATGTAGGCGCTTTGGATGCAACATTTTTGTCTCCTTTGATTTGAATGCGTTTTACTAACCCTCGCGCTCCCGCCCTCTGCCCATGTTACATGCTGTCTCATACCCAATGACTTGGCTGCATGTAAGTAACTCCAGAGAGCTGTTATCCAGCTTCCGTTTTCTTCCTCCCCTTCTCCCCACTTTTATTCCTAGTCCACCCAAATGTGTGTTCGACCCTGGAATGCAAATGCCTTTTTTGTGTGTGTGTGTGTGTGTGTGTGTGTAAGCTACCTACGACTTTTATGAATAGATTCCGAGAAATGTCTTTATTTTGGCAGTGTTTGATCAACTAGATCTGGTGACATATGAGGAAGTGGTCAAGCTCCCTTCCTTCAAGAGGAAAACTCTGGTTTTGCTTGGTAAGTCTGTTTGGTGAAGTCTGCTTTCAAGCTTCCACTAAGAATGACAATGAAGCTGTCGTTTCACACACATCTGTACTTTCATTCAGGTGCGCACGGAGTTGGCAGGAGGCATATCAAGAACACGCTTATCACGAAACATCCAGAACGCTTTGCCTACCCCATCCCTCGTAAGAAATATACATATGACACACACGCCTCCACTCACTTGTATACAGTAATGCGGCAGTCTAAATTTTTGTCCCGCCTAACTGTCCTATTTGAAGCTGAACCTTTTCCTCATGTCTCCCATCAGACACAACTCGGCCTGCAAAGAAGGATGAGGAAAATGGAAAGAACTATTACTTTGTATCTCACGAGCAGATGATGCAGGACATCAGCAACAATGACTACCTGGAGTATGGCAGCCACGAGGATGCCATGTACGGAACCAGGCTGGAGACTATTCGTCAGATTCACGCTCAGGGCATGATCTCCATTCTTGATGTTGAGCCACAGGTGAGGAGCACCACGCTTGTGGACAGCAACAAATGCCCCTCAGAATTCAATCCGCTCCATGAAACTGTTCACTTTTGATTTGTGGCGATTGTGAATAGACTTTCCAGTAAAGAATTCTGGAAATTGTATGTACCGTATTTTCCGCGCTATAAGGCGCACCGAAAAGTCTTCCATTTTCTTAAAAGCTCACGGCGCGCCTTAAAATCCGGTGCCTTGTTATATATTATAACTTGCTGTTGGTTCAGTGAACTGTGTCGCTGCTTTATTAAATATGTTTTTGCTGCATCTCCGAAAAAAGGAGAGCTGTGGTGTTGTTTTTTTAAAACGCACACTTTATGAATGTTTTTCACAGTCTCAACAAATACAGTTTCGTCTGTCCGTTTCCGTGCCTTCTCTTCTTCCTTCGACTCGAGAGGTGTCATGACCGCCTCGGACAAACGTAAATTAAAGATTCCTTCATTGAAACTACGAAAATAGAAAATAATGCATCAAAACAGAAAATCAAGCAAGGAAATCACAAAATAAATTCTATAGCCCCCTACAGAATTTCTTTTGTGATTTCCTCGTTTGTGAATACAGTACACAACAAAGGAATTAATAAACACTTCTGAGACAGTCCAGTCTCCTCCAATTACTGACATCTGATCGTTTTGTTACAGCCACGCTCAAGGAAATGCTAAAATAAATTCTGTCGGGGGGGCTATAGAATTTATTTTGTGATTTTCTGTTTTGATGCATTATTGTATTTTCAATTTTCGTAGTTTCATTGAAGTAATCATGTTTTTTGGAGGCGGTCATGAACGCCTCTCGAGTCAAGTGAAGGACTGTGGCTCCATCTAGTGGATGCATTGTAGATTGCGCCGTATAGTCCAGTGCGTGCAATATATGAAAACATTTAAAAAAATAGCCCATTCATTGAAGGTGCGCCTAATAATCCAGTGCGCCTTTTAGTGCGGAAAATACGGTAATGTCAAATAATATATGTCCAAAAAGTGAGTTCATCCCTTATTCTTTTTGTGAATATCTTTTCACTTGGATGACACGAAAAGAAATGACACTTTCATACAATGTAGTCAGTTTTTCAGAATGTAGTAAATGTACTCTCTTCTCCAAATAATTCAATGTACACCCGTTAATGTCAAAATGCCCCTCTGCAAAAGTGAATCGACCTGGAACACTAGACTTTGCACCGGTGCGCCCGCCACCCACCCTTTTTTGGGGGGAGCGGAAGAAAGCAGCACAAAAGTTAGCTTCAGCCACATTTTCGACTGCGTCAGATTCAACACCACAGTTTAATAGGTTCACTCTTAAATAGCTCACTGTCTTTTTAGGCAATACTGAGGGTAAATGATGAACTAACAGTTTGGTCATACACATACATAATGTTATTGTAGTACAGATCCACAAGAGAGGTAAGTATTGTTCTTCTCAGTTGCTGTTAAACACATGCCGTGATTGACATCGCCGCCTGGGTTCGCAAATTCTTATTCGTGGAGTCCACTTTCAAAAAATGAAATAAATAAATACCCCTCCGCAGCGGACTGTAGGCAAAAATGGCTGCCGTTGCCACCCGGAACGTAGCATAAATGTAGCTTTAACAGGCTCGCACAGGTTCTAGTGACTTTATATAGACAGAAGAAAACAAGAGTGCAACTTTTGCCATTTACACACAAGAATAAACCTCGGTGACACTGGCAAATGCTAAAGGCAAAGTAGACTACACAGACTTGTTGAGGGTTTCTCTCTCCCTCGTTTTAGGCACTAAAGATTCTCAGAACCGCCGAGTTTGCTCCCTACGTCGTCTTCATCGCAGCTCCCACGATCACACCAGCCCTGACGGAGGTACAGTGACCGGCTTTCACGCGGCTTACCTTGCACTCACGTGGTATTTGCCTGTTTTTTTCTGTGCACGCACTGACTGTTCGTGCATACAAAACCGGTGTTCTAAACGGCCAGTGTTGTGCTTTTCACCGCGTATTTCTCGACTGCCCTCTTTGCTTTAAGCACGTTTGTCTTTTCTTTGGCATGCCTTTTTTCCATTTGCAATGGAGGTTCCAAAATGGTGTCGCAAACTGCCTGTAAGTATGAAGTGGCTATGTTTTGCGCGTTTGACTTTGTGGGCTGTGTAGCGTCAAATCCCAAGAGGCCTTTTGAGTGTGTGTTTAGTCCTCGTCACATCTGTCAAGCTCCTCGCTTCATGGCGACAGACGGCCATCTTCCGCTCCGTACCTCATTACTCCCGGGATGTGTATGTGTATTTTTGCCAGGATGACTCGCTGCAGCGGCTCCAGAAAGAGTCGGAGATGCTTCAGCAGACGTACGCTCACTACTTTGACCAGACCATCATCAACAATGAGATAGACGACACCTTGCGCCTGCTCGAGGAGGCTGTGGAGCTGGCGTGCAACACCCCTCAGTGGGTCCCGGTGTCCTGGGTGTACTGACATCGTGACAGCAGAGGCTCAGCTCGCTGAGACGTTCACGGCTCCTCCTGAAGGGACGTGTGAGGCCTGCGCAGTCACCTGGAATGTCCTACGATCAAAATCCCCTGTTTGTAGATGAAGCTATAATAGGACAAGAAATAACGGTGCCACCTCATGAAGACTCCACTCTGGCCCTTTTTCTTCTTTCGATGGCCTTGATGGCCTTAACGTGTACATATATACATATCTATCTCAAATGATATCAATGCTAAAAGATGTTAGATGAAAGTTGTTTTGTCCTTACATAGTTTAAGGCTGTGTGGGGTGTGGTCTATATTTTGTACATTTCTTTTCAACATAATGGGTGACTGATAACGCTGACACGGCAATAGCAAGTATGCCATTAAGCGGGTGCGCGTGGGCCCTCAAAGGCACTCTTCGTGGAACCCATGTGTCGAAAGCAGTTGAACTTTGAAGCACATCAGAAGCTGCCACGTGTGCACAAGTCAGTCGCCGGACACCAAACCCAACAAAAAGCACAGGAAACTTGGCAGTTTCGTTCTCCCAACCTCTTATTTATTCCACCATTTTGTCAAATGGAGCACGCGTTCGTTGGCAACTCACCTCTCGTATCCCGTAACGTGTCCCTCCCCAACCTCGCATTTGTTTACATCAGAATTTGCACAAAAGGACAATGTAGATCACATTGTCGGCTCACGCGTTTTGGCGTGCTCGGACCCTGCTCTTCTCTGTACGGAGCACCATCGGTGACCCTGCAGGTACAACTAGCACGCAAGTGGAAGGCAAAAAGATGAGGCAAAGTTGAAGTAAACTGCCTTCGAGAGACTTGGGGAAGAGGTTTGTAACATCTATGCACACCCCCAGTTTCTATTGAGCAGATCACCAAGGCCATTTTTCCCGTCCACACTAACTGTTGTTATTACTTGTGTGTCAGGAATCATACCTGTGCTATAGAAGAGGGTCAAACTTCACGTAGGTTGGAGGTATCAAATGTTAGAGCCGATGTTTTGGAACCGAACAGTTGTTTATTTAAAAGAAGAAAAAAAAAGACAAGTATTCTTGTTTTGAGAGTGAGTAAACAAGTCAAAATTTTATGTGTAAATGTTTCAATGGTGAGTCCGTCATTTGCGTGAACAACAGAGAGCCAGTGTTTAATAATGTTGAAAAGATGCTCAGTGAGTAACACGTTGACGCTTCACCAGAAGTAGCACAATGCTTTCCCGTCACGAGTGACATCGTCATGATGATTTTCGAGTACAGTTGCTTTTGTGCCTCTTAGTGTTCTCATTTTAACTTGTGTAAATGACTTCTGTCCAAAGCAGCTCTTGTGGATGACATGGTTTTTTTTTTTGTTATTTCATTTTGTAAAGAAAAAATATATATACAGTATCTTGAATTGAATGCGTGAAAGCAAAGCGATTTGGTTTCCTTGTGGTTGTGGCTGTTTCGCATTCCATGTTGCTGCGGGGAAAGAAACGGCTGCAAATGACACGTTGCTGTGCGTGATCAAATTTGAATTCCCTCTCTGCTCCTTTTGCCAGTGGGGCGAAACACTGCCATGCTCCAGGGAAGATTGCACAGTCTTTTGGAGAACAAATCTTGAGGACGAAAGATATTATTTTACAGTTGTGGGTGTTGACATTTACAGAATCTTAAATAACACGCAGTGGCAACACTTGCCAATGCGAGGTATCACATCCTGCGTTCACACCGGACGTGTTTTTATCTGTTGGCGCAAAGTGATCCCACACAGCTAACAATACAGCGGTGGTGCGAAAGGGAAGTGGGCAAAGGGTAAGGCGGGTGTACCGAAAGCCCTGACATTGTACGTTTTGCACATGATTACATATTAAGTAATACAAAAAAATACATGATACAAAACAGTACATGTCAATGTTAAAGCAATGCCTGCTGTAAGAAAAGGTTATTTCAATAAATGCATAACACAAAATATTTTATTTGTTCATTAAAAATAGAGAATAAAAATATACTTCAGAAAAATAGTAACATGGGAAGAGAGCTGACGATATGCTGGATTTGGGATTGGGAGGCGTTGTCTTCGAACCAATGGGCAATCTCTCTCTCACACACACACACACACACTTGCCCCCTCTCCCCCTTACTCAAAT